AGAAAATTTCATTGTAGTCAATACCTTCTTTTTGCTGAAAACCTTTGACAACCAATCTTGCTTTGTAGTGTTTGCTCCCATCGTGCTCTTTTTTGATCCTGTAAATCCACTTGTTATGGAGCGTTTTCTTGCTTGGTGGTAATTCAGCTAATTCCCACGTCTGATTTGACATAAGCGAGTCCATCTAATCTTTCATGGAAGACTCCCACTTAACTGAATCCTCCACCTACATTGCTTCATCATAGCACTCTGGTTCACCATTGTCAGTCAGCAACAATTAGTGCAAAGAAGGCGAATAATGCTGGGTTGGTTTATGAATTCTGGAGGAGTGTCTAAGTTATGGTGTGCATGGTTATTCTTGAACTGCTTCAGGACTGATCTGAACATCATTTTCAGAAATCTCCTTAAACTCAACAAATTCCTTTGTTTCAGCTTCGATATTGGAGCTACTTGATTCTATGGTTGACCTATCTTTGTACATCACATTCTCATTGAAAATGACATCTCTGCTTCTGATGATCTTTCAATTTTCATAGTCTCAAAACGGATAACCGAACTCATCACCACTATAACCAACAAAGACACATTTGTTGGACTTGGCATCAAGTTTACTTCTTTCAGCAGAATTTATGTGTACATAAGAAATACAACCAAACACTCTTAAGTGTGAAAGGTTTATTTCTTTCTTGCTTCAAACTTCCTCTGGTATTCCACCATCCAAGGGAACTGAGGGCCCACGGTTGATTAGGTATGCAGTATTAATAGCTTCAGCCCATAGCAATTTGGGTAATCCGGCATGTATCCTCATGCTTCTGGTACGTTCATTCGGAGCTTTGTTCATGCGCTTTGCTACGCCATTCTGCTGCGGTGTCATGGGAACTTTTGTCTCTATCTTGATCCCATTGTTTGCGTAAAATTCTCTGAATATATTATTTCTGTACTCTCCTCCATTATTAGACCTCAATCGTTTGACTTTCAAACCAGTCTCATTTTCCACCATGACCTTCCATTTTCTGAAGGTATTAAAGACTTCTGATTTCTTCTTCATAAAATAAACCCACACCTTCCTTGTAGAATCATCGATGAAGGTGACATAATATAGTGAGCCTGCAAGAGATGAAACTAGAGATGATCTCATACATCAATATGAACCAACTCTAACTTTTCGGCCTTGGGTTTCTTGCCAATCTTTGTAAAACTTACTTTCTTTTGTTTATAAAAGATGCAATCCTCACATAGTCCGGCATCTATATTCTTTAGATCCGACAGCTTCCCTTTTAACAAAAGTGTCTTCATCCCTTTCTCGCTCATATGACCAAGCTTTTGGTTCCATAGGTTTGATTTTCCATCAACATCTGCTACTGCAATGATATTCTCCAAATTTGAGGTTACATAGAGAGTACTAGTCTTCTTACCACGAGAAATGACAAGTGCTCCTTTGGTAATCTTCCATTCACAGCCTGAAAAAGTTGTACAATATCCTTCTTCATCAAGTTGTTCTACATAAATCAAATTTCTTTTGAGGCCAGAAATATGTCTCACTCCTTTCAGCTTCCAAGTGGCCTGGTTTGGCAACTTTAATCGGATGTCTCCTTTTTCGACGATCTTTAAGGTTTCATCATCAGTTAGATGAACCTTCCCAAAATTACCACTGACATAGTTCTCCATAATTTCTTGGAATGGAGTAGAGTGGAAAGATGCCCCTGAATCCAAGATCCATGATTCAATCGGACTGTTGACTCTTAGAATCATGACATCACCTGTCTCCTCTATCATGTTGGCAGATTCCTGTGCGCCGATATCTTTCTTCGGTGCTCAACAATCTCTTTTAAAGTGACACTTCTTGCCGCAATTATAACAGTTAAAATCTTTCTTTCCCGTTCTAGATTTTGATTTGCTGCGATTTAGATTTCTTTCTGAAGTTCTCCCTCTAGACTCCGTGTGTAAGGCTGATGAGCTTGATATTGCACCCGATACTCTCCGTCGAATTTCTTCACTCAATACCAGATTTCGAACATCGTCGAATTTTAATTTACTATTTCCCGATGAGCTGCTGACTGCTGTAACAGTAGCATTCCAACTGTCTGGTAGAGATGATAATAGAATTAAAGCTCGAACTTCATCATCGAATTCAATTTTCACGGAACTCAACTGGGTTGTGATTGTGTTGAGTTCATTTAGGTGTTGAGCCACTGATGCCCCTTCCGCCATCCGCAAATTGAATAATCGCATCATCAAGTGAACTTTGTTTGTGGTTGATGGCTTCTCATACATACTGAAGAGAGCCGCTATAAGATCCGCCGTGGTATTTTCCTTTGCTATGTTGAAAGTTACATTGCGGGATAACGTCAGTCGGATAACTCCGAGGGCTTGTCTGTCGAGAAGAGCCAGTCTTCATTCTTCAGGCCCTCTAGTTGCTTTTATGAGAGAGGTTGATATAGATTTTTCTGGTACATAAAATCTTTAATCTGCATCTTCCAAAAGCCAAAGTCTGCATCATCGAACTTCTCAATTTTCACATTCCCTTCGTTTTCAACCATCGCTCCCACTCGATTCTGGCTTCTTTTGGATCGTTTCTGACAATTCTTGCGAACTACCGTGTATTAGAACACCTCTGTCGACAAATTCATATCGCCGACCAAATTTTACTATTCACAAAATTTACTATTCATGTAAATAGTAACCTTACAGAAAAGCCGAAATAATTCACCACCAAAAGCTCTTGATACCAGTTGTTGTGAAATAAACGAGTAATTTCCCTATAACCATATTAGTGAGAATGCGAAATAAAAACGAAAAAATAATACCTAAAATTGGAAACGGTGTTCGGCCAATTATGCCTACGTCTCCAGACTGCTGCAGATCTTTTACTAAAGAGAAAATTTACAAGTGTTTACAAAACACTTATAACTCACAAGAAAACTCTCTAAACTCTTTAGTATTGGGAGAAAGAAATGATTTTGAATGATTTTGAAGCTAAATGGATAAAGGGTATTTATAGTTGAAACTTAAGGATTAATCTTGAAAATACCCTAAAATGCATAGACTAAATTACAATTATTCTTATTATCATTTTCAACAAAATTGGACACCGAATTCGGTGCCCCTTTGTTGAAATCCATTTAGGCAGTGCCTTTTTTACTTTACATTGCTAAGCAGCAGCTTCCATATGGACGTGGAAGAAGCATTCTTTTTTACAACTGAGTTTCCCTGCTTCAAGGAAAAAAAGAAAGAAAAATGAGTAAAATTATTTGAGGATTGAAAATATTAAAGAAACACATCATGCAAAACCTTCTCCATAAGGACCATCATAGCTCTGCTAATTTAAATGGTTTGGTGATATTGTTTTCTATATATCTCTTCGTAATTGATTGCATACATTTCATACTAGACAAGAATAACACGTTCACGGAATGTGTTCTTAATTATGAGTGGACATCTAAGAAGCATCACGCACACCCTTTAGTTGAACCGGAAGAATCTAAATAAGGTAAGGAGTCATGCCTAAATCCAAATGCCACTGAGGACAGAGGACATGGTTTGATACACAGAACATAGCTCTTGGTTCAAAGAATACATGTGCACACAAAGAAAGGCTTCAACTTACAAATAAATGAACTATGAACCAGAGAACACAGAAGGAAAACAGAGATGTGAGCTGAAAGAATTACCAAAGTTTTTATGGTCCTTACCTTCCAGTTTTTTCCGCATAAGAACCTTCTTTATATCCACACCGGATACCGTCGACCAAACCTCCATCCAACAGTACCTCCACCTGACAATCAGTTATCCGACTAACAGTCACTCGACGAAAATTAGATGGAGAAATCGTGACACCTAACGACTTTGACAATCATCTCGACGGCAAGAACGATAACAATCGACAAGGGAGACGACAAAGACGACAACGACATTGATCATGGGTGACAAGAAAGATGATAAGGTTAGGGTTAGGGATTTTAAGGTTAGGAATTTTAGGGATTTGATTTTTTTTTTTATAATTTTAGAGAAATTAGGATTTTTTAAATATAATAATTTTTTAATTTTTTTAAATAAAATTTTTAAAATTAATTGAGTGAGACACGTGTAACTTAACATAGTTTTTTAACGTCCATTATGATTGATGTACTTAAAATGATAACATTTATAACGTTAGAATTCTATATTAATCAAAAAGAAAGTTTAAGCATATAAATGAAAAATGATATAATTTAAGTATTTTTTATGTTAAATAAAAAAATTGCTTATTTAAAAAAAATCTAAATGCATTTCATTGTAAATTCTAACCCGAAATGCGCTAATTTATTTAGTTTAGAGATGAACGTTCGATCGAGTCGAGATAAAAAAAAATTGAGTTATTCGAGTTGACGAGTCCTACTTTATAATTTAAACTTGATTTGAATTTTTTTCGAGTCAAGTTGTTCAATGTTTTGTTTAAATTTAATTGTAAATATTTATAATATTATGATACTATTTACTTTCAATTTAAATAATTTATATATATATATATATTCATAATTTTCATATATGATATACATATAGAGTCGAGGGACTCAATTCAAACTTAACTAAAAAATTGAATTGTTCAAATTTTATTTTATAACTTAAATTTTTTTTTTCCGAAATGAATTTATTAAATTACAATTTAAAATCAATTTAAATTAAATTAAAAAATCAATTTATAAGCAAATATGGAGTGCCATCAAGGGCATATCATTACAGAATTGTTATTTGGAGTAGGAGACGGAGCATGAGTGAAAATAAGATGTGTTTATTAATTATAAAATTTGGATTATGAAAGCAATGATCAAGAGACGTAAGTAGAAAAACGCAGATGTCTAGAACTCTCTAGTTTCATCGCCCTCTTTCCATTTTCACCATCTTTCTACTCTTTTCTCGAATTTTCTTATTTTTCCCCACTTCTCACCCATATATATACACACAACTCTCTCTCCCCTCTTTCATAATAAATTTCATCAAAGCAATTGATATATACAAGCAAGCGCTCTCAATAAACTTTCTTCTTTCGTATTTCTTTCTGGTTTTTGTTTTCAATTTTTAATGGCGGCCAAAACTGAAGGCAAGGCAATTGGGATTGATCTCGGGACGACGTACAGTTGTGTTGGTGTATGGCAGAATGATCGAGTTGAGATTATTGCCAACGACCAAGGCAACCGGACGACGCCGTCCTACGTCGCTTTCACTGACACCGAGCGGCTCATCGGTGATGCGGCGAAAAACCAAGTCGCCATGAACCCTCATAACACCGTTTTCGACGCTAAACGTCTCATCGGTCGTCGATTCTCGGACCCATCGGTGCAAGCCGACATGAAGCATTGGCCTTTCAAGGTCGTTCCCGGTCCCGATGATAAGCCGATGATCGTGGTTAATTACAAAGGTGAAGAAAAACAGTTCGCTGCCGAAGAGATTTCTTCCATGGTGTTGGTCAAGATGAAGGAGGTTGCCGAGGCTTACTTGGGGCAAACCATTAAAAACGCTGTCATCACCGTGCCGGCTTATTTCAATGACTCGCAAAGGCAGGCCACGAAAGACGCCGGCGCCATTTCGGGGCTTAATGTTATGAGGATTATCAATGAACCGACGGCTGCTGCGATTGCTTACGGTCTTGACAAGAAGGCGTCGAGGTCCGGCGAGAAGAACGTCTTGATTTTCGATCTGGGCGGCGGTACTTTCGATGTTTCGTTGTTGACAATTGAAGAAGGGATCTTTGAAGTTAAGGCAACTGCTGGGGATACTCATCTTGGCGGCGAAGACTTCGACAACAGGCTTGTTAATCATTTCGTTCAAGAATTCAAGAGGAAACAAAAGAAGGATATTAGTAGCAACGCAAGGGCTTTGAGGAGGCTGAGGACTGCATGCGAGAGAGCGAAGAGGACACTTTCATCGACTGCTCAAACCACCATTGAAATCGATTCACTCTATGAGGGAATTGATTTCTATTCCACTATTACAAGAGCAAGGTTCGAGGAGTTGAACATGGATTTGTTCAGGAAATGTATGGAACCCGTCGAAAAATGTCTTCGGGACTCCAAAATCGACAAGGGTCAAGTCGATGAGGTTGTACTTGTTGGAGGGTCGACACGGATTCCCAAAGTTCAGCAACTTCTGCAAGATTTATTCAACGGGAAGGAGCTTTGCAAGAGCATAAACCCCGATGAGGCTGTCGCATATGGCGCTGCAGTCCAGGCAGCTATTCTGAGCGGTGAAGGGAACGAGAAAGTCCAAGATTTGCTTCTTCTTGATGTTACCCCTCTCAGCCTTGGGCTTGAAACTGCTGGTGGAGTGATGACAGTGTTGATCCCAAGGAACACAACGATTCCCACCAAGAAAGAGCAGATTTTCTCTACTTATTCGGATAATCAGCCTGGGGTTTTGATTCAAGTCTACGAAGGTGAAAGGGCTCGAACCAAAGACAACAATTTGCTCGGTAAGTTTGAGCTAACAGGGATCCCACCGGCACCGAGAGGGGTTCCTCAAATCAATGTCTGCTTCGACATCGATGCGAATGGTATCTTGAACGTATCTGCCGAAGATAAGACTGCAGGGGTGAAGAACAAGATAACAATTACAAATGATAAGGGAAGGTTGAGCAAAGAAGAGATTGAAAGAATGGTGCAAGAGGCAGAGAGGTACAAGGCAGAGGACGAGGAAGTGAAGAAGAAGGTGGAGGCCAAGAATGGGCTCGAGAATTACGCTTACAATATGAGGAACACTGTGAAAGACGACAAGTTTTCAGGGAAACTCGACCCCGCAGACAAACAGAAGATTGAGAAAGCTATTGATGAGGCAATTGAGTGGCTTGATGCGAACCAACTGGCAGAAGTTGACGAATTTGAGGACAAGTTGAAGGAATTGGAAGGGATATGCAATCCAATTATTGCAAAGATGTATCAAGGTGCTGGTGGGGGAGATGTGCCGATGGGTGGTGGTGCTGAGATGCCTAATGGCGGTGGAAGTGGTGGTACTGGACCCAAGATTGAGGAAGTGGATTAAATTTAAGTCTCATCAATAGGATTTGGGTTGGCCTTGGATATATGAGATGAGTTGCTGTTGTGTCTATTTCCCTGTGTTTAACTTTTGCTTTGGTTTGTGTAATGCCCTATGTGAGGCTGTACTTGAGACGCATGATTGTTGATCGGAAACATAATCATGCAATAAAAACCTTGGAAAGTTTTAATCAGTCTAGCAACAACGTTGATATAAATCTTCAATTTCCCATAATTTTTATGTAACTTATATCTCATTACTCTTCAATAAAATTTCATAAATTGTTTATAATTATTCTTCTCAATATGATTTAAATGACACAATTATGACATTTAGTTGCTACTATTTATAGCCACATTTTTCCCGAAGGGAATTATAAGATTAGGAAATTGTAGTTACTAAAAAAGTTGATATTTCCATTTGCACGTTAAGATGAATCCTCGTAACTAAAATCGAGTATGGTGATATCGTTTCCCAATCTTGTACTTGGTATTTGTATAATAAGCAGAGAGGTGAAGAGGTTAATTTCTTTTTGTTCAACACACTCCATTCATTTCAATTGTTGCAAGTTAGAATAAAAGAATGTTCTCATCCTACAAAAACATGAGCAATTATTATTCAATTCTGAGGATACAATTCCCATAGCGCAACTGTCGTGTCTTCTGATGCAGAGGCCATCAGCTTGCAGTTGGTTGAATATGATACAGAGTTACACTGCAAGAGTAGATAATTTATTTCATGTTATTACAACACAATAATTATTTCAACCGAAGAATAGCAACAAGAGTAATACGTATACACTATATAGTTAAGAGGCAGATACATTAGAAACAAAATAAAATGCCAAAATTTTAGCGTACCGTAGTATGGTGATATTTCAGTATCGCCAGAGGATTTCCTTTGCGATAATTGTATATTCTAACTCTGCCACCATGAAAGAAATACAAGTTAAGTTAATAGCAAAGTAGCAAACCCTTTACAGCATACCTACCAAATACAATGATTAGCATGCATCTCAACAGCTGGTTTCCTCCAATTCCAATCCAATTGACAAGGTGACAGATACTTCTGAGGAGAAATATAGAACTACAACTTCGACTTCAGTGAAAACTAGTTAAAAGCACAATTTAGTTTAGTAATACAATTTCCAAGGATGACAACTTAGTTTGACTAGATCCATGTTGACTTATTTCCAATTGTTCAATGACTGGAAAAGAATTGGATGTAATCAATTCAGATTGAACCAAAAAACTCGTCAAGGAAATCAAAGCAAGCACTCTTACTAGTAAAGATCGAGTTACAAAGTTCAATTAATGAACAACAGATACCTCCGGGACAACTAAAATTCCATATTATATCCAATAATTTGTATTCACTTTTGAGGGAGGATGAATTCCCAAAGAACATCCCAAATATAGATGATTCAGGAGTTACAAAAATAATAAATAACAAGGAAAGAAAGATGTAAGGGGGATACAAACCTATGGTCCCAGCCAGCAGTTCCAGCAATTTTACAATCAGGCCGAACTGAGATGCTTGATATGCCAGGCCGTTCTAAACTAATTTCTTTCTTAACAACACAAGAACCCTACAACAAGAATAACTGAATAAGAAGCATACGAGAAAATAATATTATTCATGCTTATGCTCTGTCAAGACAGAACAAGTAGTTAAGCAAATGACTCTACCAGCCCTTTATCATGATGGAGACTAAATTTATTGTGAAATAACACGTATGGGTCCCCAAAACTAGCACTATGGTTCATCCAATGTCACTCTTCAACATTACTGAACAACCAGTACTAAAAAAATTCAAATGGGATTCTGATGTATGTTGTTAGCAAGCTGGTTAAAAGTAAACATTTCAAGGGAGGTTTAAACAAGGTGGAATGAACTTAAAATTCAATGCAATTACCGAGGGATGATCTAAATTGTAGAATATGATCTTGTCATCTGCTGCCCCTGAGATACCACCATTGCATGATCCATCAATGCATAAACTTAGAACTGGGCAGAGAATAAGAATAAAACTTACTTTACGTAGAAAAAGGAATTAGGAAATGAAAAGAAGGAAAAGAAAGATAAAGCATAATAAGTGGAGTCCCCGTATTCTGGGTGGCACACCTGGCTCTGAGTGGAACTTCACAGAAGTTACAGGAATCACAGGTTTACGTATATCCCACCACTGAATGGAACCATCCTCATAACTAGCACATACATCAAATAAATCCATAAGTCACTATATCTTAGATAGCTATTCCATAAGTCACTACCATATCAAAATCTCTAACCGAACCGTCATTCAGAACACTGGTTCTAATTCAAGGGGAATAAATCTTAAATAACAAATCTTATTCTTCTACTTCTTGAGAATGATAGGAGAAAATCAAGGTGTTGGAGACAACTCCAGTGCAGTGGAGACACATACCCTGCCAAGACATTAATGTGGTGTTTGTTTTTACTGTGTAAGGTCTGCAAAACTCTTATGTCTGCGCCGCGCAGACATTGAGCTTCGCAGACAGTTTGTTTTTTAGAAGACAGAAGCTCTTCTAACGTCTGCGCGAGGTCTTCTCGGTGCAGACATGGTTTTATGTCTTCAAACGTCTTCAAAGAAATTAAAATTATTTAAATTTATTTTAAAATTTTATTTTAAAATATGAAATGATTTATTTTAAAATATGAATTGATTTATTTTAAAATATAAAAAAATTTATTTTAAAATATGGATTGATTTATTTTAAAATATAGAAAATTTATTTTAAAATATAGATTGATTTATTTTAAAATATGGAAAAATTTATTTTAAAATATGAATTGATTTATTTTAAAATATGGATTGATTTATTTTAAAATATGAAAAAATTTATTTTAAAATATGGATTGATTTATTTTAAAATATGGATGGATTTATTTTAAAAAAAATATTATTGTAGTTGTATGGATTATTTAAATTTTAGTATTATAAAACTAAAATTATTTAAATTTCAGTATTGCAAAACTCTTTTAAGTTTAAAAAATCAGTTTATTTATATTTCAGTTTATTTTAACAGTTTGCAGACTTTAAAAAACAAACAGTCTTCTTCTTGCAGACTGCAGACTTTTGGTCCACCTCTTCTGCTGGAGATGCATGCAGATGTGATCCGCAGACCTTTTAACTCTGCAAAAACAAAAGAAAGCCTTCTGATCTGGGTGGCAAAAATAATTGAACTGACATGCACATTCCTGCCCAAAAAGCAAACATAATTTAAACACCTTGAGTATCAACAAGCGCAATGGTAACCGTAAAAATGACATTAAAAAGTCAACTTCTCATAGACCATTATTCTCAAATACAGACATGCCAGCATGCTCCTAAATAGAAAAAAAAATTACTAGACCCAATTCCATTACAAGATATTTCAAGCATGGCACTGAGAAATTAGCCAAATGTTTGGTATCCTAGAGCTGATTTATCATTGCAAAAATTGCAATGTCGTCATATGTGATGGATCAGAAATCAACCTCTCTGCTTGACAGAAAAACTGGAAGAACCAGCAGAGTCGTCTTGAGGTAGCCGTACGGTCTTTTCACCTGTATTGAGATCCCAAAGCTCAACCTCAACATATGAACACATGAAAACAATCAGTAATAGGATACCCCAAATAAGCAGAAAAAATCAAGAGTAAATTTAATAGAAAAATAAAATCAAAGACAACATATTGACCTCAGAAGATTGTTCTCCTGCAATAGCCACATATTTAAGTTCTTCAACAGATGTTTCTTCTGTCAATCCAACTTGCAATGGATCTAGTAGGATACCAATGAATTTTAGAAAAATCAACAAGCCATCAACGTGTAAATGTGCTTGGAAACATAGTAAAAAAGAGCAGTGGCAAGAGAAATTGATGGTAATTTTGCCACTTAAAACTACTAGCTCTGCACAATACGTCAAAAGTAGGGTGGTCTAAACTCGAATCAAACCCCATTATGAATTATAGAAAAGGTGTATTTCGAGAATCCGGCCTCCCAGATTAGATTACAACTTAACACCTCAAAAAGACCAAACTTGCAATATCTTTAACAAGGTAAACCAAAAGAATTGATCCCAGAATATGATGTAGTAGGAGAAGTGGTTTAAACAACAGTAAGAGATATAAAAGTGAAATATTACTACAATCATTCCATATCCACACATGAAGTTTCTATCATTTGTTTTCTACTTTCTAAGAGAGCACGTCCATTGTCAGATAAGCTATGTCCTGATGATAAATATTGATGGAAAAAAAGTGGTCATCAGAGTCCATTTCTGAATCTAGAAACTCATATAGAATCAAACACCGTGTAGTGAAGAACGGGTTGTTATCAACATTTATGTGTAGAAGTAGCCTGAAGCGCATAGACTAACTTTCAAAGGTGTTGGAACCCTCTTCTTGGTCTTTTGCCATCTTCCCTGTGCTATCATTGGGAAGTTCTATATTAACCGTTTCATCATTCCCTTGCTTTGTATTAGCAATAGGTTTCTTCACTAAAGAAAGCTTGCAAAAGTGGTAGGAGTTTGTCCTGATTGTAAGTGAAGGTGTCCTGTTAAGAACCAAAAGGGTAGCAAGGTGAAACTCAAACTTACAAACAGAAATTGCTGGCGGGTAGCATCAGAACCAAAATAATAAATCATGAAGGAATTCTAGTGATCGCTAATTTGTTTCACATGCCCATGAAGCTCTGGTTAGCAAAAAATAAAGAATACTGTAATCAAATAATGCCTTAAATGAGGGGAAACAAAAGATATTAGTTGGAGAACTTTTTGAAGCTAGATAATATATAGGGCAATCTAATCACTTACAACATCAAGACAATGATCGACTGACTCAGTTCTCCATATTTTCAACTTTCAAGAATTATTTACAAAAGAAGACACTTGAAAGGAAAAGATTTTGATCATTTAATCTCTAAATTATTGTTGCCATTGGTTGACATACTTTCCAGTCAAACTTTAAAAACAGTATGGATTGGTAAACTTCATAGTTCATAGCATGGAAATTCAGGCATTTTAACAATAAAAAAGATTAGCCAACCATGTTTTCATGTTATAAACTGCTCCAGAAAAGACCAATAAGCCAGAACATTGATACCATTTTCAGTGAATAATAATTTTAAAGTGATTGATTACCTTGAGATACCTCCCTCTTCTATGTCCCAACACTTGACAGTTCCATCTCTTCCCTGACTACACATGTTACAGAGTGAGGGGAAAAAAA